CCTTTCTTTATTAGATATAGAGCTATTTTATTGATTTAATTCTTCCTGTAAGGTTTGCTGGCCCATGTCTTTTAAAGAAAGTGGTGCATTTTGTCAGGGAGAAAAGTTTCCAAACATAATGCTATCCTAACATTCTTATACAACTCTGTAAATATCTGCAGATGCTATCATGATGTCATCCTTCTCATTCCCAGTACTGCTAAATTTTGCCATCTCTCTATGTTGCTTAAATTTGATTAGACTTATTTATTTCAAGGAAACCAATTTCAACTATACTGCATTTATCTAATATTTTCTTTTATATTTCATTTACTTCTGCTTTACTCTTTATTAATTCATTTTTCTTAGACAGATTTCTTTTATAATTTCTTAAGGTAGAAAATGACATTACTAACAATGCCATTTTTGTTTATTTGTTATACAGTATTTACTGCTATAATTGCTGTATCATTAATTTAGTAACATTAAATTTTTATGTTATATTCACATTTTCATTCAAAATATTACTACAACTACTAGGGTTTTTTCTGACATGTTTATTTAGAAGTTTTTTTCTTTGTAATTGCCCAATATTTACAATATCAATCTGTATTAAACACAGGTACTATTGATTACCTAGAGTGATTACTAGACAATGATGATTCTTTTATAAAATTATAGTCATTTTCTTATAATATATACTGGTAAATGTACAATTGTATACTCATGTAGATATCCTCTCAGATCTCCTGAGTTCTCTGTCCATGTACTTCTCTTCTTGTAGTACATAGTTCACTGACCTCCAGCTGTTTTGGTCTCCCCAAACCCACTTTCATCTCATCAGCTCATACAGTGCACTGGGCTCTTGTTTCGTCTGTCTCATTCTGAAGCTTAGAGACTCCGTAAGCCAGTAAAGAAAAAAAATTGTGGGGTTCTTGTTTGTTTCCCATCCCTCTGTGACCCTCTAGATTTCAGGATCTTCTATCTAATGTTTTCTGGTTGTTAGTTCATACAGTTTTGCCCATTTTTAAAAAAAAACTGATAAAAGATGGGTATGAGGGATGGGGAAAAACCTAGTATTTGTTATTTCAATTCTAAATAATGTTTTGTTTTTTTTTTTCATTAACAGTTGTTTTATTTAAACTTACTGATGAATATAGGAAAATGTTTTCCACTCTAGGGCATTAGATGTTAATAACTGTCAGAAAAGATGAGGCAATATAAAAATAGTTCTTTTGTAAAGGTAATTTATTTTATCCACAAGGGAAGTTTAGACTGGAGAGCCATAGTAACACACACAGTGCATGTGTGTGCTTTGATTAACCATGTTTAAGGCCAAATTATTAAAAACATAGATATTGATACTCAGGAATGTTTTGATGTGTGCAAAGTTGCCCAATAACCACTACAAGAGATTCCACTTATGGCACATTACAGATTTCCGTCAGAATACTTAGCACATTTATCATTTCAATCAATATTTCCCAGAAACATATTATGAAATACTGTATCTTCTCTGTTCACCTTAAAGCTTTAGAGACACTATTTTTACCAAACTTACTCAGAGAGTAAGTGCCATACCTGGAACCTAAGCCCGGGCTGATTGCCAGTCCATACTTGTAATAGTTAGTCTTCCCTTCATTCCTTGAGGTGGGTTTCCTGAGAATCCCTTTTACTTAAATGAACTCAGATGATTCAAAGTGGCAGTTTAACTTTATGTAAACGTAGAAGATATGTTTTAATCTGCTCCATGTATTATTAGTTATGAAATACAAAGAATTTCAGGGGCAATGAATGAGCGATGGATTCAGTGACGCTTGGGTTGACAACAGATTGTTACTATAGTAACTCATAATTTACTTAGTTTATTTTATCAACAATTATTTTACATGAGTATTGATTTCTCAGATATTCTATGTAAAATTTCCACTGCTACACATCTTTCCACATATACCACTTCATATTTCTTTTCCCTTTATTTTTCTCTTAGCACATCAGTAATATATTAACATATTTTAATACTCTTGTATATTATCCTGCTCCTTTATTAAAAAATGTTTCATGACATAGTGTTTAATCCTTTTTGTCCATTAGCATTTCTGCAACATTTATTGAGCTGAAGAATATTTACATATGAAGTAACATTTATGTTTAGACAGTTTTATTAGGGTTTATGCTATTTCAGTGACTCCTGTGAAATAGGGAGGGATATCTAAAACTAAGTTTTCCGAAGCATTAGGTTCTATCTAAATATATTTTCATTGTTACTTGATGTATATTATCTCTTTTTAGAAGCTACAACCATCTCAGAAATGTAGAGGAAGGTTCCATTTTAATGTTAGCTTCTCCCTTTCTCTTCAAGACACTAGTGACTCTTCAACTAAGAAAGGTGAACCTTGATAAGGAAGTAGTAACATAGTGGTTAAAAGCAGCACGTCTGATTTTAGAATTCTGGGCTCAATGCTCAGGCATTCCATTCACTAATTATTATAAATATTATAACTCACTGTTGTAATATGCCAAGGATTTCATTCTGAGATTTCAAGGTGTTCAATCCTTTGTCACAAAAACGAAATCCCTTAAGACAGACAGAAGTTTTTCTTTTTTTTTTTTAAATCTATAGCTTTGCTTTCTAATTTTCTAATGTCTTTAAGTACCTACTCTTCCCTAATTATCAAAGATAAAATGATAATGTCATAAATAAAGCTTTACAAAGTATTCATTTGGTCTTGCTTGAATTTCCTTAAGGCCAGCCAAAATGCCTGTGTTTGACAAGCTTCGCCTGTGTCCATCCTTTTCATTTACATTGTACCCACAAAGAGCACCACCATAAAACCATGATGACTTTATTATCATCACAAAGATATTTTCTCAGTTGCAGTTAAGTAATTTTCTTACACTCACATGACAGAGACAAAAGAAACTCATACCAACTTGGTAAAGTTCAACACGTTCTTGTCAATAGCATATGTGTTTATTTTAAAACGTGCTTAACCCTTTGTAGCTCAGTACCTAAAATGCTGAAATCCGTCCTGCATGCTTGTCCCTTATCTACCATGAAATTACTGACCTAGACTTCAATAACTCAAACTTTCTGAATATAAGTATGCACCATATTTTTTTATTTCAGTAATTTATGAAGTTATTGTAAAGGGAAATGAGGTCTCGAACATTTTCTTATGTATGGCTTATTACTTATTAAAATATACAAATTAAGTAATTATGTTTTAATGTACTTGAAAAATAGTCATTCATGTATTTTATTTTTCAGTTAGCACAAACACCAATTCATAATAAAAACTGCCATTTTTAAGAGATCACTTCTTTGTTTCTTCTCCTTCCTTGATATCTCCATGACATACCATAGTCTAAATCTTTCTTTTTCATAAATTTATACCTCTATTACACTTCTTGATCAGTGAGCCCCTTCTAACTTATCAGATTAATTCATTAAATTATTTTATAAATGTTTTCAGTCAGTTACAAGAATATCCTTTTAACCTGAAAGTTATATGATAAAAATAATTACCGGCTATTGGCAAAGCAGAAGTTTAACAGAAAGAAGTAAAGAAAATTTTAGGAAAGTAAAAGAAAAAGTCAATAGAATAATAGACAATGGTGTTGCTAGGTTGATTTTGTTTTTCAATTGTATGCCCAGATAATTCCACCAAAATTTTGGATGATGAATGAATAATCAATCTCATTATAGTGTCTATGGGTAAAATTGAAATTTAAACATTTTTATATACTGATTTATTTATTATTTCTTCTTCTCTTTTTTCATATTCTTATATTTCTTCCACTTTGAAAACTTCACCAAGTAAGATATTTGAGTCCCCAAATTCCCTAAAAGGTTCTGCAAAGATATAAGATGGGCCTGGTGACAAGAAAATAATTCTCTGTGTGTGTGTGTGTGTGTGTGTGTGTGTGTGTGTTTTAAGGCTATATCAGACTATAAATATGTAAGCAAATGTGGAAATAATAAAATTCTATTAAAATTCCACTAACAATTTTCTTAAACACCTAAGTATAAGAAACGTCTATAGTGCTTGTAATATGCTTCATTTTACACAAGATCCACTAAATCCTGCATTAAAAATTGATATATTCTCAAATTTCAACAATTTTACACATTCTATGTATTTATATTAACAAACTTTGTTGTAAGTGAAGATGCAACAAGATATAATTCTTTAACTTCATTAATATAAAGTCTAATAATTTAATTACATAATTAATTTGAGCAAAATAATGGATTGTTTCAAGTATTTCACATTTAAACTCTAGGATATTACAAATGATATTTATCTAATTCATTTAAAATATAATTGTATATTTGATCTGAAGAAAAAAACTACACAAATTCTTTTCTATTTCATAGCACAAAGGAAATTGCTTGGCTATATTTTAAATTTTTGAATGTAGCAAAATACTAAAGCACTCCAATTTCTAATACCATAGTTACATATTCTATTTTCATTTACTTGGAAAGACATTTACAAAGGCATTTACATTACCTACACTCATTCATCAAACAATAATATCTATAGTTGTGAAAAGTTTTGCTACTTGCAGAATCATCCAGAAATTTATGTCATATGTTATTCTTACAACTATTTGAGAATAAATTCAAGCAGAACTTGTAATTCACATCACATAATTAATTCTAAGTTTCAATTCAAAAACATTAGGTAATTTTATAGGAAAATATTTCATTAATAAGTAAAATCATTATTTAAACAACTGAAAACTTGTGTATTTTTACTATGAATAAAAAACTTGAAAACTTTAAAATATAAAATGTTACATGCTACCAGTAGTGAATTATAATTTACTGTTTATCATCAAATATTGCATGCAATAAGACTCTTACAAAGCTTTCAACTAAGCATTAAAATGACCAAACTGATCAGTAAATTGCATCACTTAGCAAAAAATAATTTGACAGTAAATTACTGGGTCTGCTCTGTGCATCTACAGCATACTATGTTCAGAATTGAAAATAAATAAAATTCAGTTACCCTAAAAGACATTTCAAGATTCTCTCCACCCCAGATATCCATTCCTGCATCGTAAGTTCCTATCTCTTCAAAGTAGTTTCTGTCAATAGAAAATAGGCCACCAGCCATAGTAGGGGTCCTAGTTGAAAAACAAAAACAAAAACAAAAACAAAAAAGAATATCTTTTGAAAACAATGTGGAGCTTAATGAAACTGTATCAATAATGTGACATTTTAAATCTAAAAAAATAATACTCAAAAAGTTTTAATAAGAAACCCAAAGCCAAAGTGTAAGATGTTTTAAAATGTAAAAGTTCACTTTCACATTTCTTCAAAACTCAATTCATATTAGTCTATGTTTTGCTTAGAGAAAAGCAACAGACATAATGGCCATTTAAGACAGGGAATTCTATATGTATTCTGAAAGTTTAGTGAAAAGAGGTTACTGTCTCTTGTACTGTCTTTGATCAGATATACTGGTTAAAAAACTAGCACTTGTCTTTGATCACATAAGTACAAATCATTTTAATGCAAAGTGTAGGAAAGTCATCAGTTGCCTTATCTATGAGAAGATCCATAGATTATTTAAATACTAAAGGGATTGTATGGCATAAAATTTTTACAGAAAAAAATATAATGATATTTATACAGATACATTTAAACAGAAAAGCTTTACATTGTGTTGCTTATTTTTCTGTTAATCTAATGAAAAGTGCAGGATTAATCAACTGACTCTATCATTAAACACCCATTCCAGACGGCACTGACAAGTTTAGAACCATCAGCATGGCTTCTAAATTTTTTCCTAGGAATAAAAGCCTTTTTGGGTCTTATGTTTGAGATTTCCTTATAGGACTCAAGAATTAAGAGCGTAAGTTTTTTAAAAAGTCAATTCACACAAAATCATCAGTTAAAAGCAATATTTTATGTATAACCTAGAGAAGTCTTTATATGCAATGTGAAACAAATATTAAAAAAGAAAATTCTAGTTGTCCACAAATAGAATCAAGCTGGCAACGATGATTTTTTTGCATGTTAATTGTAATATAATGATTTGAAACATTTGTAAACTTTTTACCATTTGATATATCAAAAAAAAAGTATCTTCATATTTGGTTACTACCTCCCACAGATTCAGATTTAATTGACATGTAATGGAGAATGACTGGTATTGCATAGAGTCCTGAGGTGATTCTAATACATCACCAAAAAAGAGAAACGTTGATCTAGTAGCTCAGATTTGAAATAGTAATTTGAGTAATCTGTGAGATTGTTAAAAAACAAATATTTCACTTTTCTAGAAATTATATCATCCTTTACCAAAGGTTATTTTCATGCCTTCCAATAAATGAACAGTTCATTGAAAAAAGCACAATGTAATATCATACTTGGACATCAAACGTATTATGAAATTCTCTACTTCTCTTAGTGCTCTCACTGTTTTATACTCAGGTAATTAACGGTCCATCAGTTGGAGTAGAGGAGCCTTGCTAAACCTCAGAGTTGTTGTAGTACTTATAGGCTCGCTGGGTTCCTCTCATGAACAATATTATTGACCTTCTGAGGTATAATGAGAAACACTAACAAAGCTAAACAGATGGTAATTGTGGAGTAGTCATGACCTCACCTGATTAAGGTTTTAGAACTCTACAGCGATAATAATACAAAGTATTACAGGGCTGGAGAGTCTATTTAATAAAATTATGAACAAAAATTGCTGCCATTATCCCATCATAATGCAACCAAATGCTTAATAGTGTTAAGTGATGCATTTTAATGATCAGTTCAGAGAGCATATCTACATATATGCCTACTGAAAAAGTACTAACACATTTTAATTTAAATACATGCAATATATTTCATATTAAGGTTGGTAATTCCTATAAATATTGTCTGAGAAAATAGTAAAAAATTACATTTAGCAATATGAATACTAAAATGACTTTCATTTATATGAAAAGTAATTTAAAAAAACTAAAGAAAATTTCCTCAAAAAATTCTGTATTTTCTGAAGACCGAGGCTTTTCAAAAGAATTTTTTTCTGCAAGCCCATTAGCCCTCTACCATAGCCTAAAGACCATGCTTCATAATATTTAATGCCTATATGGTCAATGTTATGGAAAATATATTGTATCCCTTATGAACTAATTACATGTCTCTGTGCATCTTAAATACTCAGAGTGTCTAAAAAAACAGGAAATTTTGATTATAATTGAATAATCTGAGGTCATTTGTTTTTCAGGGTTGTGTTTATGTGGTATCAGGGTCATCAATCAATTCAATTTTGAAAAATAGGCTATAATCATAACATTGACTATTAACACTTCCTACTCCATAGGAAGTAGGTGAAGAAAAATGGAATTAATAAAGTAAAACATTGAGCTTAGTGTTCAGCACATAATAAGCCATTAATGATGTTAGGCAATTTATCTTTGTTGCGGTTTTGACATTATTATTCAAGCTAAAGCCTTGGGGTTCTTAATCTTGGATCCCCATATGCATATCATCATTTTGGATCTCAAAATGTTTCAAAGCTACTTCATATCATACTAGTCAAATGTGCTTCTCTGAGTACAGCTTCCCAGTCTTTAATCCCTCCCATTGCTATCAAAAGTCATTTATCATCCTCCATTGGTGGTTATGGTTCCTTAGTTGATTAATATTCTCATTTTAATAACCCTTCCGGATTTTTTTTCTTCCTTCTTCCTGTCCCTTCTCCAAGGATCTGTTATGTCAGTGGAAAACTAGTGTAGCGCCTTTGCTTTGTCTGATCCAGTTTTCTTTCTGTAATTCTACACTTCTACGTGCCTGGATTAACTTCATCAACTTCTGCTACTAAGACCCAGATACTCTCTAGCAAAGTAATATGGTAAAGCCAATTGAATATACTGTGATGCATATTATTCATTCTCTGCTTAATTCACAAGCTTTTAACCATCCTTGTAACTATGTTTATTGTTAATTTGCTCTACTTTTCAAAGAATAATCTCTCAAAGATTTGGATTCCCTGGGGGGGGGGTCCTCAGGATTCAGGCAATGTGCACAATCCAAAGTCCCTTATGCTCTAGATCAATACATTATGTATCTTTCTCATGTCCTTCCCTTTCCTTTTGTTTCACAGGAAGAATGAACTGCTCCTTTTCTTCTCTGTGGGGTAGCTTCATTCTCCCCATTGTACTCTCAACCAGTTCTCTCCTGGCTACTTTTAGCCACTTACTCATTTACTGCATGTATGTTTTATGCCTTTGATTTCTAGATTGCTGTCTTGAGCTTGCAGATCTGTTCAATTCAGTTCCATTCTAAACAAAAAAAAAAAATCTTCACTCTTATCTTACTACTTATCAAAAGTAGGGGCATATGTTCTTAATTTGTTTCACATTCCTATTTTGAACTCTTTAATTTTATTGCAAGGATACTTTCTATGTTCTTCTGCAACTCCTTTTGACCTTCTAACCAGAAGTTGGGTAATGCTCCTGTGAAATAACTTTTTCCTGAAAGACCCTCTTTGATTCTGAACTCCAGTAACCTATCTTTCACTTTTCCTCTGAAAGCATTTAACACAATTCATCAGCCACTTGCTTGACATCTTTTTCACCTGTAACTCCCATTGCATTACTTTTTTTCCTCAGAGCTTTTTCTTCCACTCATTCAATGACACATTTTGATTCTTATCAATGCCATTTCCTCTTCATTCCCCTTGCAAGATATTAGACCATTAAACGTACTTATTTTTGCATCCACGATATGAGTTCTAAATTATACCTCAATAATAAATTTTGTGGGCATATTTACCTGAGAATTATCTTCTCTTGCCTAAAATGTGCCCTTTCCAGAGACTATTTCTACTGATGTTATTTTATAAGGTCACTGGTAATATGCATTAGCTGTCACCTTCAGAAATCTGACTCTTAATTAGTATTTTCTCAACACTTACCTCTATTTTTTAGGCTTTGCTAATTACTCTCTATTTTTCCTTCAGCATGCACCAGTCGTCTAGTCTGATATTTAGTATACCTAAACAACGCAGTTTCTAGAGTGTTAGTTTTTTAGGTCTGTTTTAATAATATCCCTGAAATATTATAAATTTTAATTAATGAATCATAGGAATGGATATTTTTATTTACACAAAAATGAGGTGAGAAAGGCTAACATATCCATATACTGTTCTATTTTTAAAATCACAAAATACAGTTGCTTCATTTGGTTGAGTATGTAACAGATTTAGAAATCAAAGCGAAACTAAATGTTGTGAATTTCTTTTCTATTTTTCCTGACCTCTTACATTGAGTACAGAAAGCAGAAAAAAAGAGAAAGAAGGCAAAGACACAAAAATTTTCATGAATATCTAATCTTGATTACAATTAATGATTTTTATAATTAAAATTTCAATGTACATTGGAATAGTGCTCACTAGTACAGTCATTTAAATATGTTTCAGTAAGAAAATGCAGCTTTATATAGAGAAGAAATTGTTACTTAAGTATTCATGATGATTTAGACTTTGAGAAAAGAAATTTACTCAGATCCTTAGAGTTTATGAACACAAACAATTTCAGTGTGTTTATTAAATCATAAAACAATATATAAATCTCTGCCTAACATGAGTCAGAGACTTGTTTTGCTTCCTAAAAGTCCATTTATCATAAATTTAGAAATTAAATGATTTATTGTGTGGTTAAAGACTTTTTTTAATGAAGGGTTATTTTTTTTCTCTTTAAATTGTTTTTACAGTTCTCATAATAGGATAAAATCCTACTTTTCAGGGTGATGTGCCTTAGAAGATGCAAGTTTGAATCCTTTCTCATGATTTCAAGTCAACAAACAAACAGCGGGGGCTTGCTGAAATCAAATGCCTTACAATGATTTGGCCAATATGGTGACACGCTGTGATACTAAATGTGATACCAAAAATGACCATGTACATGTAATACTAAATTCACTACTCTGAAAACTTTTATATAATCCCTGTTTTCTTCTCATTTCAACAGACAGCAAAGAAAATCTTGCCAAATGTATCCCAAAAGATCCCAAATCTTGCCAAATTGTATCCCAAAACAAAACAATATAATATTACTACACCATTTTAAAAATCAAATCAAAGATTCTACTTGACATGGAAATATTTTTCACCTCTTAAAAT